CGAGGAGCGATATGCAAATTGATATATGTCTTCTTCGTCAGATGCAGTGGCAACCCACGGTAATAAGCATCTCTCACAAGTAGCTGTGAATTAAATATGAATTGTTCATTTTACCGGTTCAGACATACTCTCGGAGATCACCAGGATTTGTGACATGTCTACGCAAAAGGCCATGTCTTGTATTTCCAGTATCGCGTTGTTTCTTCCTATGGTATTAGAGTCGAGTAAACCACGAGAACATTCGAACTTGGCTCCTGAGGTTACTCGTGATTGAACGTTGGCCTAGATAACCGTGCTGGTTCAGCACTCAGTACACACAGGTATGGATCGAACTGGTGCGGCACAGGTAACCTTCGTCAGATCTCTTAATCCCGATGCCTGACGTTTTGAGGCTCAGGAACGCGGATGACCATTGTATTACCTCATTTCGGACTTAACATATCCGTAAAAGTATCCACGTCGGTCGGTGCTCCCATTAGTCGAATGCTATTCAAAAACACGAATTTTGACGATGNGACGATGGGTGCTGGCGCGTCACTTCTAAGATAACGAGACCTTGGTAGACAAAAGATCAGAAGAATGTACTAATAAAAATGATTCCTAGGCATGAAACTGGTATCGTAATTTCATTTGTCAATGGCCTGGACTATTTTCTTTATCTCTCAGCATTGAGATCCTACCTATGTTTTCGCATGGGGTCCAACAAATTGGCAGTCAAATCGCACTTGTAAGGTTCAACGCGGCACTCTGACCACTGAAAACTACTATCGCGGTAGCTAATTTATACTTGCCTTCAACACAGGGTAAACGTTTTTGATTACATTGATATCCGAGCTCTTGAGCGGTAAGTGAGTGAATGAATTCTCCTTCGGAACTTGCCAATCCCAGAACTGTATGAATCTGAAAAAACAATACATATTAGGAGGTTTAAAACACTTCCATGACAACCACGGGTGAGATATGAAACTGAACTTTATCCGGGAAAAGTATGGCTTTTTGTGAATGCGTTTCGAGAGTAGGAGTCATCAAAAACCTGCCTCATTAGTGCAACGCTCTTGGGACACGCACGGGAGCCCCAAGAACAAATTGCTTGGAATTAAATTCAATCCCAAGTCATCAGGCGGGATGAATACTGACTTCTTTTGACCAACGACCTGGATTTATTTGGAAAAATAGGTTGAGAGATCACCTTTATCTGCTCGTTTTATTGCTCATCAGCTACTAGGTATTTATTTGTCAGTGAAATAATCGGAAAGCCAAATGGATAGGTGACGCGATTTGAATTTGATTCAATACGTGTCTTTTTTTGTTGAGCGTTCACCAACGGTTTTACATCGACTCAAATGCAGTTTTCATTTAGCCATCTTTTTCCCAACAGTAGCATTCAAAAAGTGCGATTACACCCCCCAGACTACCTCCGATATATTTTTAGCAGCTTTTCTGAGCCAAGGCCGAATGTACACATCGCATTGTTTCGATGTGGTCAGTCTTTTAACTCCATATTGCTGGAGAAATTCCCTTGGTTATGCGATAAAATGTGCTTCTGTGCCTCTGCTTGTTCAGTGAGCCACNGCTGAATGTTGACTTTTGAAGGTCAATTTTAGCATACATACATTTTGATTCCGTTTCATTACGAGAGTTTTTAACTCAGCAGTTTGTGATCACAATTTTTCAATTTATTTATGATAAATGATTATTGGTTTATTTACTGTGTACCTCTTTTAAAAGGATATATTACCTGGTGCTTGCCCAGATAACCCGAGCGAAAAACCACAACTTGTTTACAGCCATGGGTCTTAGGCAGGCCCACTGGACTTCGACTGTGCAGCAGGAGTGCCATCAGCACACGGATGAGCTGGACGAGACAACAAGAGCATTACAAAACGTACAAGCCTGTATTCAGACAGTCTCGTGTTGGGGTGAGGGATTCCAAGTGTCGCAGATCGCGGAATATGATTCAATCAGATCACAGAAAGGGTCAGAGAGAATTTACTTACTTAAGGTCACGGGTGAGAGGGACGAGACGATGGAGTAATCGCACTGTTTATAGATTGATCATAATTTCTAATTTTGAGCTCTCTTTTGGGCTATTAAAAGTTTTATCATAACACTGAAGATCGCGCCAATTCAATTTGCAAAACGACAGAATTAACAACATTACAATTGGAAATAAAGTTAGGAATAAGTGCTCTTCACCCAAGGCTATCGATATGTAAGTGTGATATGGGAAATTGAAGTATATTTCTAAATCGAGGGTCTTGTCGCACAAGTTCGATCAATACCGAATAGCTTATTTTTTACTTTTCGTCTTAGAATGCCAATTTTTTTCAATAGTAACGCGGGGATTCATTGCGGTGACATAGATAATATTCACTGTGCTGAAAATCCTCATGAGATGATCTAAAT